GAAGCAGCCACAGATTGCTCATGGCAGCTAGCCCACTATATCCCTATACGGGCTATAGATGCCTCACTGCAGATCGTGAATGTGATATTTCTGTTGAGGTTCTCATTCATCCAGGTCACGGTTGTTCCAAAGATGCTTTTATTTTAAAGGCAATTGGACTTTCTGCCTTTTTTTTTTAAAGTCATTTTGCTTCTCATCTAAGACATAGGTCCCCAACCTTTTGGGCACCAGGGACCGGTTCCGCAGACCGGAGGGAGCATATGCTGCCTGCTTTGCTTGTTTGTGCAGACCGGTTCTTGGCAAGCCACGGCCCGGTTTTGGTCCACATACTGGGGGTTGGGGACCACTGATCTAAGAAGCTTCTGCACTTCAATCTGAAGAAGCTTCTTGGATGAGAAGTAAAATGTCTTAAAGAAAAAACAGAAAGTCCAACTGCCTTTGAAATAAAAGCACCCTTGGGACATGAATGTGATAGGATGCCAATTCACCCAAATAAAGCGCATGTGAAAAGATGACACCCCCCCCACAAATACACCTTCTACACGCCATCCAAAATAGATGCTGGCAGGCCACATGAGCTGCATTTTCTGCACCTAGAACTTAAACAAAATTCTCCAAAGTGGCCACCATACTGTCACTCTTAATACGACAAAAGAGCTTCCTTATTATTAATTAGAGCTGCCCACTCCATAGACTCTTAAACATATTACACATGCTCACTCTATTAAACCCATGGAGAATAGCACATTAATCATACTCAACTACATTAATTATACTCATATCAACTTCAGCTTGAGAGAGCCTGCATTTTGGCACTATTTCTCTCTCTGTCTGAAGCACGTTGCACAGGCCTATTCTACGGGAACATTTCTCAATTAGGTGCAATAATTCTGTCTTTTAATTTCCACCAAAGATCATGCCCTATAAAAGAAAATATTTGTTAAGGCCTATAGCTCTGAGACGAAGGCCATATTTGAATTCAGTACAGTTCCTGATACTTCCACTTCAAAACAACACAGGAAGTCCTCGACTTATAACGATTCGTTTAGTGACTGACTGTTTAGTGACTGTTTGAAGTTACAACAGCACAGAAAAAGTAATTTATGATCATTTTTCACACTTACGACTGTTGCAGCATCAGCACAGTCATGTGATCAAAATTCAGTCTCTTGGCAAATGGCCCATATTTACGACGGCTTCAGTGTCCCAGGGTCATGTGGTCCCTTTTGTTGACAAGCAAAGTCAATGGCGAACTCGGATTCATTTTCCAACTGCGTTACTAACTTAACTACTGCAGTGATTCACTTAACAACTGTGGCAAGAAAGGTCGTAAAATGTGGAAAAACTCACTTAATAACTATTTTGCTTAGCAACAGAAATTTTAGGATCAGTTATGGTCATAAGCGGAAGATTATCTGTATGAAGCAGTCATAGAAAACATCAAATTTCAACCTTGGTGAGTTCCTGCCAGTTAAATACCCACTCCTGGGTTAAATGAGACTTTGATTTTATTTTCCTAATTACTAAAATGTAGGTCTGAATAGAGATCTGTAGTTAACCTATTGCCCCATCCTTTAAATAGATGCATCTTTGACTTGAATAAATAAATCACATAATCCTCCTTGTCTTTTCTGCAGTTTTCCAAAATAGATTTATAATGGTGAATGCTAAATGAACTGCATTTGTGCTCCGGGAAGAGTAGAAAAAAAGGTCAAACCAGGACAGAACTATGCAAATAAAGGTTACCATTTCTGGCCACTGTTAAGAGCCAAGGGGAAAGCACATAATTCACAAATGTTTTGCTAAGATTACAAAATTGTAGAGCTGGGCTAAGTGAAAGCCAGGGAAAAGGTTCATGTCTGTCACTTATTAAATGCAATGAACTGAAATCTGATCCCATATTTAGACAGTGGGAGATATCATCTTTTGTCCCTTTGCCCTTTCAAAAGTATAAATGCAAGTATGATGAGGTGATGCAAACAATATTAACTATTGCTAGTTTGTGTTTAATGAATTATCACAGGCTATTGAATATCCTAGATGTGGAGACTTTGGTGCTCACTGAGTTTGGTTGTTCTCTTGCAGATGTCTCCTTACCCAGCTAGATAACATCATCAGTGCTAGTAAGTGTGGGGTTTGTTCTTTGTTTGTATAAAGTAGCTTTCCCTGCCAGCATTGGCAGGGGGTATTGTTTTCTCCTTGGTAATTCCTAGCAACTGGTAACTCCACACACCACTGATGTGAATAGGCTTCAGGACAGGCAGACCGAAGAATGAGCAGACCATCCGTGGTGACAATTAGATAATCAAAGGAAAAACTTCCTGAATTCTATACAAGCTTTTATTCCAGTACGTGAAAAGCCAGATTAAAATGTAACACTGCTTTTTTCATTGGCCTTTTCTCTACTTAATTTGTGGACATTATAATGCTTCCTGAAAAACCTGGAAGTTCCCCCCCTTCCAGTCTGAGAGAATTAAATCCCTTTCTTTCTGCACAGCAGCTATTGCTCTTTAGGAAGATTCCACAGAATCAAAATAGCCAGCAAACTCCTTTTTTGAAATTTAATCTCAAGAGCAGGAGAGTTGTTCTCTAGACTTAACTTTACTATTTGACAATTGTGTGTACATTTCTGACCTAAGGGGCTTCTCTAGAAACATGCGTTTTCTGAGATATTGGTCAAATCTGAATAAAAGGAGAGAAGCAACCTAGAACTACGGAGAAACTTCCTGGCAGTGAGAACAATTAATCAGTGGAACAACCTGCCTCCAGAAGCAGTAAATGCTCCAACACTGGAAGTTTTTAAGAAGAGACTGGACAGCCATTTGTCCGAAATGGTGTAGGGTTTCCTGCCTGAGCAGGGGGTTGGACTAGATGACCTCCAAGGTCCCTTCCAACTTTACTACTACTACTACTACTACTACTACTACTACTACTACTACTACTACTATTATTATTATTATAACTAAGCAAGAGCCTATTTAAACCTCCATAGAACTAGACTATGTTACTGTACATTCCTTCAAATGCTTATTACATCCAAGTTTCTTTTACACTTTATAAACCTAGTTTTGAACTAGCTTCAAACCAACTTTTCTGAATCAGTTTTTAAAATAGATGCTTTTTTGGTTTAGAAAAAAGTGATTGTTGTACAATACAGGAAAAAAATGCCTTGGATAAGTGCTCAAATTATAAAGTAAATGAAGAGGGCTGAGTCCTGTTATCTTTTAAGAAAAGCCTCAATTAATGGTTTTACAGAGTTTTCAGGGTACAAGTGGGCTAAAGGCAGGAGGAATCAACAGAGATAGTGGTTTAAATTAATATCCCAATCATCACAATTTTTCAAAGGTTTTGCTATATTTAGTGAAGCTGTTAGTTGCATTACAGATCTGTAGAGCCCCCAAATCCTAACATCTTTCTTTAACTTTAGTATACAGGTAGACCTTGACTTACCACAATAGGGGCTGGAAAATTTGTCATTAAGTGTGGTGGGTTGTTAAGTGAGATATCACATGATCACTGCTTGTGACCTTCCCTGCCAGTTTCCCCATTGACTTTGCTTGATGTGACTGACATGAATGGCAATCATATCACCGTGTTATAAATGGTTGCCAGGCGCCCAAATCATGATCACATGACTAAAAAGATCCTGCAGCTGTAAGTCACTTTTTTCAGTGCCATCATAACTTCAACTCTATCCCATCCCCATAATCATTGGGTCTGTAAATCATCTTAACTGAATTTACATACCCTTCATTTTTCATGAGATCCAAAATACAGTCATTTCTTCATTAGTCAGGTGGAAAGAACTTGAAGATTAAATATTTCCAAATAGATGTAAAAACAAAAATAATGGATTCGTTCACCAAAGGGACCTGGGTTCTTACCTCTTAAAAGTCTGGCTTTGAATCCCTGCTTATTTGTGATGCTAAATTAGAGTTGCTGCCTTTCTTTTGACAAGCCTATGTTTTAACAGCTCCACAGCAAGCAGAGTCGCTTCACAGTGAGAATGGGTGGGATATAAATTTAATAAATAAATAATACAGTATATTCTACACTGAAGCTGAAGATATGAATACTATTTTCTTTTGTTTAATTCCTCTTTCAACCCTGGCTTTAACACAAGAACTTACTAAAATCCACAAATTTCTTCATAAACGGGATGAAAATAATTTGAGAGAGAGAGGGAGGGAGGGAGAGAGAGAGAGAGAGAGAGAGAGAAATGGGATGTGATAGAAAATGAAACACACAATTATTCCAGCTGATCCCTAAACCTCAAAACATGCCATAACTTTTCATAAAGATTTTCACCCAGTTCCTTTCTTTTGAGGTGTTTCATTGCTTCTTTACCTCTTAAAAAGACAGAGGAAACTATCAATTAAAAAGGGTCATACCCAGAACATATAATTTGCAAGCACAAATATACACATACATTTACTGTGACCTCTGCCAAATTACACCCTATTGATTTCAGAAAAGCAAATGTGGATTATAACACCGCAGTTAATCCCAACAAAAGCCACAAAATTCTTAGCATTAAGGCAGCTAGAAAACATGTCCTTGCTTTATTCAGAACAAAGGCTTGTGTTCAATAAGCAAAGACCAACTCAAGAGTCGGAAATTAGTCTGTCCGTTGTTCTGTCTCTTTCCGTGGGACCTTCAGCAACACAAAGAAAGGATTCAGGATCGAGTTTACTAAGTCATGCAAAGTGTTTGTAGGGTACATCAAGGGAACAGACAGACAGTACATGTATCCCTCAAAAATTCTCAACGCAATGAGGGACTCCCTCCACAGGACAGCAGCTTATAAAGGGATTTTTATATATATATATATAAAAAAACTTATTATATATTAAATTTATATTAAATATATTAAATTTAAAAGCCTACCCCATCAGCTATGGAAGTTGCACTTAAACCAGTGTGAATCAAAACTCTAAATGAAAAAATGCATGCACCTCGGTTAGTCAGAAGAATGGTGTGAAAACAGCTCTTTACAATACCTAAAAATAGCTTGGTGTTTCTCCTTTTTGGTAAAGCTCCACCAGATGCCCCTGTTACCTTCTGAAAAGAAAGAAAGAAAGAAAAAATAGATAAAAAAGAAGAGGAAGAGGAGGAAGAGGAAGAAGAAAGTTTTAAAAAAATCAAATGTTGCTACAAAGTCCCCCCCCCCATATATTCAGAAAAAAAATGGGAACCCACATAAAATCAGTCTGCATTGATACTCTGGTGTAAAATAAATGCAATTATTTTCCAGTAACTAGAAATTGGTTCTACTGCACTGCACAGAGTTGTTGTAAAAGCAATTCAAAACAGCAACAATAACTGTGATAATAGAATCACTAGTTAATCGTTGCACATTGCTGATAGTGTAGTCACGGCACACAGATACTAAGACTAACAAAGATTTAGAAGTATTCCAACAGGTGCAAATTCGTTCTTTCCTGGAAAAAGTAGCCTTTTACTTACCTGCTTCTTAAAGAAAGTTTTCATCCCTACCTCTAGTTCAGCCTTCTCCAACCTAACTTCCCTCTAAACCATGTGGACTTCAACAGTCAGAATTTCACAGAAAACAAAACCATTGCTAAAAAAAAGTGGGTATATACGAAGTCCACACATTCGAAGGGCATTCATATTGCAGAAAGTTGTTCTTTCTTAACCTAGATCAGTGATGGCGAACCTTTTAGAGACCGAGTGCCCAAACTGCAATCCAAAACCCACTTATGTATTGTCGGGTGCCGGGTGGGCGTGGCCCATTGGGTGGACGTGGCTTCGGTGGTAACGGCAGACTGGGTGGGACTAAAAAGTTCAATCAATCAATTCTGACTTTGCGAGATTTTTTTTTTCCAGTGAGAAGTTGAAATTGATTGATTGAATCTGGGGTTTTTTTGCACACGATGGCAGAGGCCTAAAGCAGTGGTTCTTAACCTGTGGGTCGGGACCGCATTTGGGGTCGAACGACCATTTCACGGGGGTCGCCAAACAAGGCTGTCCGCCATTTTTTCCCCCTTTTCTTTGGCCACGCCCCTGGCACCCGGTGATGTATAAGTGGTTGGGGGTCACCACAACATGGGGAACTGTATTATGGGGTCACGGCATTAGAAAGGTTGAGAACCACTGGCCTAAAGCGAAAAAGTTTTATAAAACCCATCTGAAGGACTAGGACTGGGGCGACGGTGCGTGTGCCCACAGAGAAGGCTCTGCGTGCCACCTGTGGCACATGTGCCACATAGGTTCATCACCACGGACCTAGATTCATCCCCAAATATCCAAGAAATATCAAGTGCAACTAATGCCATCACGTATTATAAAATATGATTGTTGATCATATATTTCATTTAGTTGAAGACACAGAGAACATTTATATCATGCACCAACCTATCTCAAATCAATGTTGACTCAGAATGATAAACTTTGAAATTCAATACGTTAGGAGAACATCAGATTGAAGGAGACTGCCATAGACTTTGTAACCGATTTAAGTGTTTTCTTTCCTCCCAAAAAAACGTGGGAACTGAGGCTCAACTTATCCTGCCATCACCACAAAAGTTCCATGAGAAGTGTACACATTTCATCAAACATTGGTCAACACCATGCTTTTGATGGAAGTATGACAAATGTAATGTGTTGAAAAAATGGATAGAATTGGAATGCTTCCCCTCTCTCATAATGAAGCCTTCCCTAGCCTGAGATATTCCAGATAAGCAGGGGGTCAGACTAGAAAACCTCCAAGGTCCCTTCCATCTCTGTTGTTCTACTATTCTTCTGGGATTTCCTTGAACACACTGACTAAAATTCAGAGCACTATATTCCATCACATCTGGGCAGAACCAACAGAGAGAAGGCTGTCTTGAAACACAAAATTTGGAGGATAAACTCCCCAAATATCACCTATTTTTGGAACATAAATACATACTATTTTCCTACAATCTTTTCAAAAGTTGAGAATAGCTGGATTCTAAGTGTAATAGAAAATCAGCGTTGGTGAAAATTATAACAAATGTCAATTTTCTAAAGAAAGAGGCATATAAAGAAAGCCATAACAAGATAAAACAACAACAATGGCACTGAAAAATATTCCCCATTTTACTAATTGGGTAAAATCTTTGGCCTTACATCACGGTATTTCTATGATGCTATACCTGCTAGACACCTGTCCATAAAAGTATTTAAAAAGCAGAGTTCTCTCTACGATTAAATTTGTTCCTTGGGAATATGCAAATACCACACAATAAATTTAAATAATTACACAAAGCAACACTTTTAATAATTTAACAGGCTATATCACCCATTGCTGATGATATAGTATGTTAAATTAATCTCAAAGTAGATGCAATTAATAATTAAAATTAGCAATTAATCAGCCATTAAAACACCTGTTCAAAAAGATGTTTATCAAGCTAATATATTTATTAACCTTCTATAAAAAATGTTTGACCCTCAGTTCTGCAGAATACATGTCAAAGAGCTGGACTTTAACCATTTAGAGCAGGGGTGTCCAACCTTGGACTTCAACTTGTGGACTTCAACTTTCAGATTTCCCCAGCCAGGCATGAAGATTTCTGGGAGTTGAAGTCCACCAGTCTTAAAGTTGCCAAGATTGGACACTCCTGATTTAGAGGTTTAAAGGGAATAATCACAAATTTCTATTTTGCCCAGAAACAAATTGGCATCTAGTACAGTGCCTTAATAGACACAAGAATTTTGGATTTCTCTCAAGACCATCTGGCTACCAAATTTTGTATTAACCCAAGTTTCCAGACAAGACATGGGCTTTCCCTTTATGATAGTCAAGCCATCATGTTAACAGCACGCTTTTAAAGTCATGTTTTCTCAGAAAGTGATGTAATTGATGCACCAATGAAAGGTGATTAAAAAAATGTTCCTGCTTGTTGCTTCTAACTGGAAAACCTGAGAAGAAATGGATCCAGACAGAGTATAATCCTGTTACCACATCTAATCTAATCCAATCCAATCTAATCTAATCTAAATCTAATCCAATTCCAACCTTCTTATTATTTAGCATGCCGACTATATTCAAACAACAACACTACAAACCTGCAAACTATGGAAAACATTTGTGCTCTAAATTTAATATACACATAAACCTATACGTAATACAATATGCACTGGAGATAATGCATAATGCATACATATGTATTATGTTATTTATTATAATCTACAATTAATATGCATAAACATCTGCAAAGCATTCATACAGTTGATAAAACCCAGCAACTAGTTATATGCAATTTTTTATTTAAAAGCTTTTTTTAAAAAATCTAAACTTTTAACAAAAAGTTCATATATGAATACTAGGGTGGTGCAAGTTTTGGCATTTGAAGGTGGGGGAAGTGCTTCAGAACATACATATCATCTGTCAGCAACTCCTTAAATCAAAAAGATATTTTCCTGAGACTACTCTGCAATGGTGTGGGGCAGCCATGTAATCCCAGGAAAAGTTACAGCAACTTTAAGGAGTTACTGATTTGTCCTACACAAACGCCCTACCCCTTCAAATTCAAAGTGGTGCTTAGACCTATTAACTATATATCCTGAAAGCAAAATTTCAAAGAAAATGTGTCTTTAAAGCAATCCATTATATGGAAGACATTTTAGAAATCCTACAAAGTCTTCCATGTTCAACAAAGTTCAAAACTGAGCTACAGGTGCGTAAAGAGTGGGGTAAGAATGCAGGAGTGTGGGAAGAGGTTAGAAAGGTCAAGATGGCTCCCACAGTTGTGTGATCATAGTTACTATCTTGACTTTGATGACCCCCCTCATGTACATCCATGTATAGAAATTTAAGTCTACAAATGCATATATTTCCACCAATCTTTTATCTGATCTTCATCTTTCAATTGTATACTTGTTGGAACGAATGTGGTTCTACTTCCTAAAATTAAACTGAAATAATTGTAATAGTACAAAACTTACTATTTTTGCAATAGATATAAGCATATAAAAGTTCTATTACAGAATTACTATATATCTATATATCTATCTCTATACATACATACATACATACATACATACATACATACATACATACATATGCAATTGATGACCTCAAGATTATTTAAAGTAAGAATGCATCTGACATTTCTATATATTTCATGTTTGAGGCACCCAAATGTACGGGTAATCCTCAATTGAGCCCAAAATTTATGTTGCTAAGTGAAAAAATTGTTAAGTGTGTTTCATCCCACGACTTTTCTTGCCACATTTGTTAAGTGAATCACTGCAGGTGTTAAATTAGTAATAATTGTTAGTAAATTGTTACGTGAATGTGGTTTTCCCATTGACATTGTCTGTCGGAAGGTTGCAAAAAGTGATCACATGACCCCAGGACACTGCAGCTGTAATAAATATGAGTCAGTTTTCAAACATCCAAATATAAATCACGTGCTACAATGGTCGTAAGTGTGAAAAATGGGCATAAGTCACTTTTTTCAGGGCTGTTGTAACTTTGAACCATCACTAAGTGAACTGTTGTAAATCGAGGACTACTTGTATACAGAGTGTCTTCATCTGCATTGATGTGTCTACTCGGTAACAGAAGAACACAAAGTTGTAAACGTCAAATCATCTTTGATTGAACACAAGTGGTAAATACTGTATATTAGCTTCTGAGGCCAGGGGGCTGACAAGTTTACATGTTCCCAGTAGTTCTTACTGATGTGTAAACAATTTGCAAGCCGAGCCTACCGGTACATATCTTCAATATTTTTCTACAACGTGCTGCAAAATTTCCAAGAAACCAGAAAGGACAGTGGGAGATTCTAAGGTTTCCACTGTAAATTAAAATTAGTATTATCTGCATTTCCAAAAATACAGCTCTGACACAAGCCAATGCAATCCTAGCTGCATTAATAGAGGGATAGAAGCAAGATCACATGAAGTTCTAGTAAGGCTTTACAAAACCTGAGTAAGACCGCGCTTGAAATACTGCATCCAGTTCTAGTCACCATATTATAAATAAGATGTTGAGACTCTGGAAAAGAGCAGAGAAGAGCAACAAGATGATTAGGGGACTGGAGGCTAAAACATATAAGGAACGGTTG